CATTCGACAATAAGTGAATTTACCCATCAATAATGAACGCAGCTGAACTGTCATTGTCAATTAACTGCCCACTGGGAAAAAATCCTGCCGTCTAACTAAGTGTACTGACCGTAATTAACTAAGTTAGCCATCTTAAGCTCTATATGGAGATTTCTGCATTTATTTAGTGTATGCATACAAAGGGGATTGCAAGTAATTTCTTTACATTATTTTATTATTTCTACTGGCGCCTCTACCGAGTCCAATGCTACAAAAAATGACATGATTCTTGCAATATCAGAGTAAATTTATTTCTGTTACTTCTGTTACATAAAAATTGTTGATTTTTCGTAACAAAGGTTGATTTTTCGTAACAAAAAAGAAGCCTTTTGACATAATTTCTTTGACCTAAAAAAAAACAAATGTATTTTTTTCTCATGAACGTTTTTTTTTTTATTATTAAATATACTATTTAGAGTGGTTCCATCTGTAGCATGAATGTGCTTTCCTTTTTCTTTTTCCCAAAGTAAACGCCTTATGTCTGTTGGACGGGAAGAATTTCTAGAGTTGTAAATTGTTTCTTTTAATTTCATAAGGATAGGATTATAATTTTTGACCCGTTTCGAAACAGTATTACAAAATGTATCATTCACTCTATTTTATCTGGTGCAAGGACATTTTAAGGTTATACCAATCATTAACATAATTTAAATCTTTTTTCTTGTAAATCACACCGTATTTGTAAAGTGTGAAGTCATCTGCGTTGACAATGGTATAGAGCTACCGGAAGCTATGGAATGGTAATGGTTGCTAAACAAGTATATGGTTGCTATGGAAAGTCAATGGTTGCTTTCGGAGTCACTAATTCCTGTGGAAAGTCACTGTTAGATATGGAAAATCAATGGTACCTTTACAAAGTAAATAGTTGCAATAGAGGTCACGGTTGCTATGAAAAGTCAATGGTTGCTATGGTAGGCACATATTGCTTTGAAAAGAACCTGGTTGCTGTGGAATGTCAATGGTTGTTAAAGATAAATTGTTGTTTTGGAAGTCACTGGTTGATACACAAGGAATGCATGACCCCTTCCCCTTCCTTGGTGAAGCTAGTTTAGGCCTCAGTGCTATAATGTAAACAAACTTGGTTGATGTCAACAAAATAACGTTGCAATCTAAATATCTAAGCTTTAGCTCTTGTAAGCTTTAGTATATAGATACAAGGAAATCCCATTACCACATGAGTCGGGGATTATGTAGACCCTGGGGGGTTTAATTGAACAAGTTTGGGGAAGCTCTACTAGACAATATTTCATGCTAAATAACTAAGAAGTAGCCCTTACAAGTTCTTAAGAAGAAGATTCGTGAAGTATTTACTACATAAGGACAATGTACACAAGACAAATAGTGATCACAAAAGCTCGCCTTGGGCACAAGCTTGAAAGTTATATTTTTATTTATGGTCATAACTACAAAAAACAACATTCAAATGACATATTAATGGTCGCTTTGGTAATAAAATGATTCAAAACTTTAAAACAACTATGTTACGGTAATGTCGGTGACGAACTCTGGATATAAGAAATGATAGAAGTATATAAGGTTCTTTTGTCGTTTTTTCTTCTTTAAAATTGCACCATAAATGTAATATGCGATCAACAATATTTTCTTACAAAATAAGTATAATTTATATAAAAAAATCATCTCCCAAATTATAGCATGAATAAAACGAATGAACTTTCAGCTTGAACAATACATTTTGGGTACAATTCTTAAAGTGATATTATGCTCATCCAAGGGTAAGTAAACAGGAAAAAAAAAAGAAATAACTTGACATTTTGCAATAACTGTTAATTTTCCTATGCTACTATAAAAAATTATCAATTATTCATGTGAACAACAGAAATTTCTGTAAATATCGTTTAGAATGTATCGGTAATGCTCAATTCTTTAAAAAAAAAGTGGGGCAGGATTTTTTTATAATTTAGGTAGATTTTATATTGTATCATACACATTTTTCCATTATCAATTATTTACCATTATAACAGCCAATCGTTTGAAGTATGATTCTTATTCATCTCAACTTGACATAAAAAAATAACGTAATGTCACTGTAATTACATGAAATTGAAACAAACTCGTCTGCGAAATGTTATAAAGTACGTCAAGCGCACGCTTTAAAGGCACATTATGCCTCAGAAACAAATAAAGTTTTCCTTCTTTAGAAAGTGCAAACATCAGTTTTATAATATTTAAACAGTGGTTTTAGTGCATGTTATATGAACAAATTAGCGCTGAATGAAAAATATCATAAAAGGGACAAATTGCAAACTTAAACTTGGCTTTCACAAGGGCTCTTTTTCAGAAATGAGAAACTCTAAATAATCTATAATATAATCATTATAAAAATGTTTTTCCTGTTTAATATTGTTGAGAAACAAATAATAGCATTCAGCTAACAAATGGCACAATCAAAACTATTGTTTCTACTCCAATTGTTATAAATATGTATGAAAATGTTAATCTATCCCACCATTTTTAAATAGTTGTTTGACCGTTTTCCTACTTGGCGGGCCTTATCTGCTAAAATTCTGCTAATATCCCTAAAATTTATCAAATGAGGGAGTGTTTTCAAAGTTTGCCTATTTTTTTTAAAAGTATATTGGTTGAGCTTGTCAAATATAAAATACTTTTACTGTCTAGTTTTTACTTTAAAATGTCAGGTACCATATTTGATAATAAATTCGGCATAATTAAGCCAAACAAATACCGAATATAATTTTTCAATGAAAATGAAATACTTTATTCTTACCAAGAGTGATCCTAGAAACACATAAATAATGTTAAAAAAAAAAAAAGAAAAAAAAGTTGCCTCTTCCAAGGCTTGAAACAATGCCCCCTCAATTTCAATGCAGTTGACTAGCCTATTTGAATACTCTTCAAAGTGGACGTAATGCATAAGGTGGGTCATACCTTAAATAGGATTAACTTTTAAGTGCACAATGATATTATGTTTCATTTTTTTTGCTATTTGAGGTGAAATAAATAGGACACGTTGCAGTGTATGCACCACGTTATACGCAGTTTTGAAATTTGATAGAATAATTCACCGGGTAATACAAAAAACCTTTTATTTTGCTATTCTTTTTGTTACATATTAAAATAAATATTGAAGTTCCATTAAGCTTAAAAAATCTTGTTTTTTGTCAAAATTTTTATTTCATTTTGTAAGTTTTGCTACAGTTTCCAAAAGGTTACTCATTGGCCTTATGGATGAGCCATATTTTGCTTCTTCTCCTGCTTTATTTGGTTGGTATAATTAATAAGTATCTTTAATATGTAGAAGTTAATATACCACTTTGTTTTACACCATTTCTACCGTTATTTTAAAATCTTGCACATTCAGTGTTGTTTTCTCGAGGTGGTAAGCATTTTACATGTCAGTCAGGTACGTTTTGTCATAATTTAAGACTATTTTCGGTTTATGTGATAAGAAACATATATGTCCTTCCATTTTAAGTTGATTTAACCGCCGAATAAAGATATTGAAACATTCGGTCATATGGCCAATGTGTAACTTTTTAGAAAGTGTATCAAGATGACAAGTTTTTTTGAGAAATAAAAATGAGCATTTCAGGAGCTTAATTGGCCTTTAGTACATCGTACTAACAGAACTAACAGTCTATCGTTCTATATAAACAATTTTATACAATAAAGAATACGCTATTTTAGATGCAGAAACGTCCATGATAGTTGCAGCATTTGATTTCGGCACATCATACAGCGGCTATGCATATTCATTCCGCGATAATTTTACGGCAATAAAAGTCAGTGAAGCATGGGGTACAGACCAAAGAGGCTATCGTTCGTCTAAGATACCTACCAGCATTCTCCTTTCACCAACAAAAGAATTTCATTCATTTGGATATGATGCTGAAAATAATTATTTTAATCTTTCTATGGAAGAAAATCACCATAATTGGCTTCTGTTTAGACGATTCAAGATATTTCTTTACAACAATGTGGTAAGCATGTTTTGTATCATAATTTGGAGATCCTCCTAATGAAAATGTGATAGAGTTTAATCGTATACACATATATGCACAGTGCCTTAAATGGAGTGCAGGTATAAGTTACTCGCACTCCAAAGCATGCCCATTGATTGACTAACTTTTCTGAGGTTTACTTTTTGTGACGACAGAGAGAGGAATAACGATAGAAATGTCACATTTGTATTTTCATTTATTGATTACATTTTTCAAAGATTTCATACTGTGACAACAGGGAATGTGTTTTTTTTCATTTTGCCTTTGATACAAAAGAGATAGAACACCAAAACACTTGGTAATCTGATTTATACCCGGGGGCTTAATCCCCTCGTACAAATCAGAAAACCTCGTTTATCGATGCTCTTTCTATTACTTATGATGGTGACTGTTCTCTTTAAAAACAAATATATTTGGCATCAAAGTACAAATACAGGTTAGAAAACATTGAGTATCTTTCAGAATAAGTCGATAGATATGAAATAAAGATACAAAAGCAAAACTATTTACCATGCCATGCAACTAAGGACATCTATAGTCTTTAGAACCGGCTGCATGATAATGATATTTTACAAGAAGGAAAACAAATAAAAAGAGTACACGTCTAAGCAAGATTGACTTTCAAGTTATAAATTCAAAGTTGATAACATTTAATAGAATACTGACTTGAAGATCTGCTGAAAAATATTAACTTTTGTAAAATATAAGAAGGAACCAATAAGTTTATAAACAAACATATCATTCCTGTATTGATAACATGATTTCCTGTTATTTAACATTCTTTAGAATCAGACAAATCTGGTAATGTTCTTCAGTTTTATCGTTGTATTTTTTAAATTTTGTTATACATGTACATCAGTTATTGTATAGATTATGTCCAGCATTGACAAAAGAAATTAAATACAGAAATAATAGTTTTGTTTCGCAACTTTAAAAAATTTAACAAAAAAGGCGACCATAGAAGACATAAATGGTGTATCAATGCCTGCCATGACGATTTTTGCCATGTCAATTCGCTACCTTAGAAACCATCTATTGAAACGCCTGGAAAAAGAAGAGCCATGGGTAAAAGAGAAATACATTAAGTATGTTTGACAGTACCTGCTATATGGAATGACACCGCCAAACAATTCATGCGGCAAGCAGCTGTTGAGGTATATGAATATTTATACTATAAATAAGAGAGCAACAAAAATATGATTTCAGTCTTTAAAATATTTGTTGAAATACAATTTAAAACAATGAAATATTTGAATATAGTCGCTTTAAACTGTATTTGTATGACGTAAAACCCATCAAAAATGAATGATATTAAACTGCTAATTGTTACAGTTATTAACATGTCCTTCCTGACATTCTCCGTCCTTGAGTCCTTTCCAAATTTTAGTTCGATGCCTTTCTCTGGGACATCCGTGTATATCCAACAACGCAGGAATGTGCAAATAACATAAAAGTAACGCCGACTCTGGTATGTAAACGAACCAAAATATAGCAAAAAAATATTCGTAACCAAAACAAATGAATAAGCGACTATGGCTGCTATGCCATTGGCTGCTATGACATAATGTTTTAGCCACTATTATAAATATTTACAGGAATATGTTTTAATATCATCCGTGAGAACGACAACCTGATCACTATTGTAATACACTTGTCATTTTAAACTTGATTTTCTTCATATTCGGTATATATTGGGCATTTTTGCCAAACTAATAGCATATAAAATATGTTTCAGAACCCGAGTCGCATTTATTTAATATAATATAATGTAATATGGTCCAAGAAGGGCAAATGTTTCAAATACACTAATATCAAAAACCATATGTACTGGGCTGAATTAAAAGATATCGACGAAACATAAATTCGCATACAATACGCTAGCCAGGTCATTAGTCTCACAAAAATGAGGTTTATAAATTAATAAACACTTTCAGGGAAATATTTTAATGAGGTTTAGAATATAATGCCTTGACAACGTAATTCAATACTTTCAAGTTGATTTTAAATAAAATATTGATATTTTTCTTTCCGTGGTGCTCGTTTCGACCATACAATTGCACACTTCTGTGCTACCTTTTGCACATTCTGCGTGACTGGATATACTCGTACATGGTGTGGATAACCTACCACTGTCTCTGGGTTGCATCGGGGCTGCTTTTTGTGAATGCCGTCTTCTCTAATTGATCTTTGTTCTTTTTTTAGGCAGGAATAAGCTCCTCACGTCTAACACTAGCTCTGGAGCCCGAGTCAGCGTCTGTCTGGTACACAAATGCAACAGATAAGACAAGGACCTTGTTATCTAAAGCATGGACACAGTATATGGTGATTGACCTTGGAGGTATAACATAAAGCGAAAACTCCTATTATTATACCGATATCCTTTTTTCAGGAGGCTAATTTAAACAGAAAGATTTATCTCTTAGCGATGTACACACGTCATCCATATGTGACCGAGCCGATACGACTCATTAGGATTCGCACTGCTTGAAAAGACTCAATGTTTTCTTTTCGCCCATGTTTGTAAATAGTTTCATAGTTATATATCTTTTGTTTATTTCATTTTTCAGGAAATTTATGGTTCCTACTTGTGCATGTTTATTAATAATTTTGTAGTTGTATATAAAAATATTCTGACATGATACTCCGATGGTAAATGATAATAATTAATTGGGCACAGATATCTGAATATGTGAGGTAATACAAATTTAATGAAAAAAAGGTTTAAATAGCATTATTTCTATTCAGGTGGCACTGCAGATATATCAGTATATGAATAGCAGATTGATGGCGCATTGAAAGATATACACAAGCCTAGTGGAGACTCGTTCGCTGGAACTAACATAAACGACAAGTTCTTGCATTGGCTAACCAAATATTTGGAATCTCATCTGCAGATCAATTTAAAAAGGAACACATGTATAGCTACACACACTTGCTTCGACAGTTTGAGATACAGAAAAAACTTGTGCAACCGGATGTAAGCATTGATTTCTGATAGTTTATGCAGAAGCAGAAAAAGGAAATAGGTCAACTGACGAAATTATTGCTTCTCTGGGACGCAGTCAGAAAACAAAATTTGAAGGAAATAAGTTTCATGTGAATTCTTCTGTAATTAAAGAGTTCTTTGATCCAACAGTAACACATTTGATTTCAAATGTTGAAGCCATTGTAGCGGAGCCGCGTATGAAAAATGTCAAAACTATTCTATTAGCAGGAGTGTTTAGTGAAAGTGAAATAATTTACGACGCATTTAAGAAACAATTAAAAAAGACCCACAATATAATACGACCAAGTGAGGCAAGTTTAGCAGTTCTGAAAGATGCTGTAATGTTTGGTCACATGCCGAATACTATCAAATCAAAAATTATGTCTTTCACATATGGTGTAGCAGCGTTGGAGAATCCCGATTACAGTACAAATTCTGCCTCAAAATGGTTGTTAGAAACAAGAGAGAAATTGTCGACGACAAGTTGACCATATTTGTTCGCAAAGATGATATCATAATAATATTGGACAAGGCGATTATCGGACATAGTTCCTTCATCCCAACTCATCCGCAAGTTACGTTTGTAACAATATTTAAGTCAACGAGACGTAACCCAAAACACGTCACAGACGAAGGATGTACTATGCTTGGAAAATTGAAGATCGAGCATCCAGAAGGGATCGAATACCCTGAAAGATAAAGAATTTGATGTAACATTGGTATATAGTGATAACGAGCTAATTATGAAGGCAAAGGTCATCAAAACAGAGCGTGAATTTTCTACGTATGTTGGTTGTTTGGAATAACTTGTGCACATGATTTATTTTATATATACATATTATTTAGAATAATAATGATATTCTATTCTCCCCAAAAAGCGTTTCTGTCAAAATACAATGTTTACTGCTTCAGGTCGTTATGAGCAATTACACTGTTTAGAAACGTATACAACGGGTAAACCTTTCTATGATTGCCAACTGCGTTAAATGTTATATATAATATGCATGAGGACTATCAGAGAACTTATTATTGTCATAAGAGATTTTAATGAAAATCATTTTAGCCTGGTCCAGAGACTTGGATTATTATCAAACAAAAACTGTAAATATAAACAGTAAGAGTTACATTATAATCTAATAAAATAATAAATCGAATATTAACAATAAACATATGTCAATCCAATAAATAGAAATCTTAACATTTTACATTTAATGACAATCGTATAACAAAGAAATCTAATATCTATAACAGTTAACGACATATGTCAACTAAAATGAAATAGAAATGTAATATTGATTGGCAGTCCAGTGAAATAGAAATCTTATATTAAGATTAGTTTACTGTTTTATAAAACTGTAATGTAAAGAAGTCCAATATTGACAATTGACAAACCCTCCCCCACCCTAACACGCGCACACAGGGCTCATATATTAAGAGTAGACACATTTTGAAAATCTAAATAAAATCGAAGATTAACAAAAAAGTTTCTGTTTTTTTTTTATCTTGAATTTTAAGCGTTAGGTGATGCTTCTCACTGAACGGAAGTGTTCCCGAATGTAAAATTATTTAATGATAAAATAAAGATATCAATATGTATTTTGACTTCCACAGAAAATAATTCTAATTAAACTAATTGTAAAGCAAAACAAAACCCAGTTTTTTTGCCTATGAGTGTTTTTTTTGTTTTGTTTCGTTTCTTAACTGAATTGAATTTTTTTTAAACTTATAGCATTTTGAGGTCTAATTGGCTTTTAAAAATATTTTTATAATTTACTGTAAGTGACATGATACTGAATTAGTTAAAAAAACTAATTGTATACGTTTTATTTCTAATTTTGGGGTATTCATGTCACAAATTTTAGTTTACAGTTGAAATAATATATGTTTTACCTTTCAATATAATCTTTGCTTTATAATCAAAGAGATAATACTGCTAAAATAAAGATAATTAACCAGAAATATATTTGTATGTTTTTCTTTGTTTTGACCCCATATTTACGTATTCCGAGCAAGCTAAGTTTATCCGAAATCACGTAAACTTTCATGAATATATTACATCCTGTGTAGCGAAGAACGAATATGCCAGCTTGAACAATAAAAGGATAATTCATACTCAATATTTTTGCTTCAATTCATGTTAAATCTCGGTTTTAGATGATGTATTTCATGTTAAGTGTACATAGATTAAATCTATCAATACTAAATAAATAATGTGTTGTCGATAAATTGCAAAAATGTGAAATGATAAACGAAATGCATTTGCAAGGTAAAAAAACAGTAAATATGAAATACTAGTTGTCCAAATATAATATAACTCTAGAATGTAAAACGAGTTGCCATGAGGAAGAAATACTACTTGTATGCTCCTAAATAATATTGACATTCTTGAGCTAAGCAAGTGTTGAATTATGAATTATTAATGATGCAAATAGTGCATATAAATCTCAGGGGATTGTAAAAGATGAGAACTAAATGCATTTTGAAAGGTTTCTTTTTTCTGTAAGTGTGTAGAAATATCTTTTTTGTCATAAAAGAATCATTGCAGGAGTTTCTTTGTAAATGGCAATTTGTTAAATATTTCAATCAAAGACGCGTGCATTTTGTATGTATATACAAGCAATGTTATCTGAATATGCAGGAACTGATAACATGTTGTTGGTAAAACAAATTAGAATAGATACAAGTGGACAGACAAATCTTAAAGATACCTGTATACCACAGTTCAGCAAAATTCAGTGAATTTTCAAAATTGAGTTTTGTCTTATGAAGAAATTCTAATGTGAAATGCAATTTGTTTGTACAAATTAAAGAAAATATAGACATAGATTTCTCTTTTATACAATTCAACAAAATTCAGAGAGAGAGACGAATTTTGGACTTATTACATATTACTGGCCCTACTGTTATAAACATGTTTGCACATCATAACTCCGTCACCACTGTATTCAGGATGACTGTCTTAAACAATGTTAGTACCAAACGAATGTATAGCAGTTGTTATGGTGCCATTAAAAGATATTGATATACAAGGAAATTCGACATACAATGTACGCAGTACCCAACAAATCCTTGCAAGGATTTATGTACACATCAGGAAGCTTTGAGTCGGAAAAAGGATAACAATATTTTGAACTGTACAACCAATACACAACATTATTATAGACTGTGAGATAACAAAATAACTTAAAAGACATAATATAAATAAAATGACACATATAACCGATTATATACTTCTGAGTTCAATATGGGGAAAATATCGCATTATAACTATTAACTAAACAATCTTCTCGTAAATGAAAACGGCACAAAGAATCTAATGTTTTCTTCTAAGTTCAAACAGAAAAAAGTATCTTTTTCTAACCATTAACAAAACAGCAAAGAATGTAATCATTGTCAGCGTCTCGAAGAAACCATAAAATAGGAAAGAGAGAAAACCCGTAGGAAGTTTATTGCGACAAAACAGCTATTGTACTGACAGCTTCATGAGGCATTAAAAGTTATAACGTCTTCTTTATATAGAACAGCAAGAATAATGACTTTTAGAGATATTGTTTAATTAAAGTTGAACTTGCAGAAACTTAAGATGTTCTGTAAATAAATTTGGCATAAACGTTTCGAAAAAAAAAAGAAATTAACGGTGTCGAATTTGCTTTTAGTATATACTTTAAAACCTGTTTTTCATAAAATTCTTTACAACAAAAGTATCGTTGATTATATTAAAAAGTATATAAATAGTAGTGTGATTGAACATTTTATAAAGGCTATGGTGAGATGTTTCAGTCAATTTAATGTCTCCTGGATTGGGCAACCAAATGGACATAAGTATCAGTGTCCGAGGTCAATTATCAGGTACCAATTGTGTCTCTCTCGAGTATCAAACCAGCGACCTCTGGATATTAATCCGATGCTGTTCTGCGGGCAGACACTATTTATAGATAGTTAAATTTATGGTAAAAGATACATTTAACTAAAAAGTTAAACGTAAAAGTACTTTTTACAATGTGAAAACTATCTTAAATGGACATTTGACACAATCATATAAGTCAGTAGTCTCTCAAAATTATATAAGTATCACCCCAATTGTCTTACTAAATTCAATTATATGTATCGTAAGAAAAAAGCCCTTTATTTCACATATTTTTAATTTCATTTCATATTTGCATGAAACTACTATCAATGTTTAATGAAGCATTTACGAGTATGTCTTAGAAAACAATTTAAAAGCTAATTAAATATGAATAGCAACACAAGTCTAATAAAGCAAATGTAAACTTCTGATAGTATCTTTTAAAGATAAAGAAAATACCCTAAAAACATTTTGTTGTGTTAAGTTATGAGGGGAAGGTGTTTGTTAAATGAGAATAATATCAGATAGCCAAATTTATTAAGATTGTTTAAAAAACAAAACAGAATTCACAAGTTTGTGAAAACATTTGTATTCAGTAAGTTTTGCAATTTGCTATAAAATATATACAAGTACGTACTAAAACAATAAGAGTGCATATACATATTGTTCTGTTTTGAAGAATACATTTTATCTTTTATTGAAAAATTGTTTACAATAAAAGCGATTGTATGCAAATATCCTCTTCTGATTATGAACTTAATCTCCTGATTGCATTTTATAATGTTTTGATAGGAAGCTACTGCAGAATCATTGAGGCGTGTTTTATATTGGAAATAAATCAACTGGAAAAAGAGCGAATTTTTTCATTAAACAGTCAATACTGAAGTTAATAATATTATGTTTTAAAGGATATTGAAAAAAGTCATACCATAGCGCCTACTTGTATAGTCTTTTGATTGAGCTAACTGCTATCTGTCGCAGATTAATCGCAACACCTACAAAAAGCAGTTGAATATTTTTTCAGGAACTTTTTATACCATTTTGTTATATAATTAATGTACGTTAGATAACGAACTCACCCCTCAAATTTTTGGACAAAGGCATGCAAAAAAATTAACCTAAATTTTAAAAAATGGGTTGTATAGCTTTCTTTTAAATATTGAAAAGGTTATCAGAACAAGTTTTATTTCCCATCACCCCTTGGGGCTGGGTTTTTTAAACGGGCCTTTAAATATAACTCATAAAATAAAACAAATTTCCCGTTTTGTAGAAAAAAATTTTTTTGAATTAAAATATATCATTTGTAGTTGCAGTTTTTTCTTTTAAACCTTGGGGTCAAAAATGGGGTTTTGAAGTCAAATTGCTTTTTGGGCGCATAAAACATATGACAAATGCAAGCTTTTAATATATGAAAAATATGATTCTTCAAAAAATATTTATAAAACATGAACTATAATGTACTTTTTGCGAAAAGTGTTCAGATTACCACTTTCATTTATTGATGGTAGTAATTTTAATTATGACAGGCCAAACATAATAAAAAGACTATGTATTGACTAGAACGACGAAATCCTTCAAAGAATATCAGCTACACGTACGCACATGTATTTATAATTAGCTTTATGAGAACATAAGCTTATC